CAATTCCAACCGGCAAAGCTAAATCTACGTAGTAGAAAAAAAGAAGAGCCGAAAGTCAATTCCAACCGGCAAAGCTAAATCTACATAGTAGAAAAAAGAAAGAGCCGAAAGTCAATTTCAACCAGCAATGCTAGATCTATGCAGCAGAAAAAAGAAAGATCCGAAAGTCAATTCCAACTCGGCAAAGCTAAATCCATGTAGTAGAAAAAAAAAAGAGCCGAAAGTCAATTCCAACCGGCTAAATCTACGTAGTAGAAAAAAGAAAGAGCTGAAAGTCAATTCCAACTGGCTAAATCTACGTAGTAGAAAAAAGAAAGAGCCAAAAGTTAATTCTAACCAGCAAAGCTAGATCTATGCAGTAGAAAAAAAAAAAGAGCCGAAAGTCAATTCTAACTAGCAAAGCTAAATCTATGCAATAGAAAAAAAGAAAGAGCTAAAAGTCAATTCCAACTGGCAAAGCTAAATCTATGTAGTAGAAAAAAAGAAGAGCCGAAAATCAATTCCAACCGGCAAAGCTAGATTTATGCAGTAAAAAAAAAGAAAGAGCCGAAAGTCAATTCCAACTTAGCAAAGCTAAATCTATATAGTAAAAAAAAAGAAGAGCCGAAAGTCAATTCCAACTAGCTAAATCTACATAGTAGAAAAAAAGAAGAGCCGAAAGTCAATTCCAACTGGCAAAGCTAAATCTACGTAGTAGAAAAAAAGAAGAGCCGAAAGTCAATTCCAACCGGCAAAGCTAAATCTATGTAGTAGAAAAAAAGAAGAGCCGAAAGTCAATTCCAACTAGCAAAGCTAGATCTATGCAGTAGAAAAAAAGAAAGAGCCGAAAGTCAATTCCAACCGGCAAAGCTAGATCTATACAGTAGAAAAAAAGAAAGAGCTGAAAGTCAATTCCAACCGGCAAAGCTAAATCTACGTAGTAGAAAAAAAGAAGAGCCGAAAGTCAATTCCAACCGGCAAAGCTAGATCTATGCAGTAGAAAAAAAGAAAGAGCTGAAAGTCAATTCCAACTCGGCAAAGCTAAATCTATGTAGTAGAAAAAAAGAAGAGCCGAAAGTCAATTCCAACCGGCTAAATCTACATAGTAAAAAAAAAAGAAGACCGAAAGTCGATTCCAACCGGCAAAGCTAAATCTACGTAGTAGAAAAAAAGAAGAGCCAAAAGTCAATTCCAACTGACTAAATCTACGTAGTAGAAAAAAAGAAGAGCCGAAAGTCAATTCCAATCAGCAAAGCTAGATCTATGCAGTAGAAAAAAAAAAAGAGCCGAAAGTCAATTCCAACCGGCAAAGCTAGATCTATACAGTAGAAAAAAAGAAGAGCCGAAAGTCAATTCCAACCCAGCAAAGCTAGATCTATGTATGGGTAGAAGAAAAGACTTTAAAATAAACATAAATTAGAAGTTGAATATTATATAATAGAAAAAGAGAGTTACTATATTTGTATTAAAGTAAGTTAAAGTTAAAACAGATTAAATAATTTTGGCAACAAAAGAAATATCGTACTACTCTGTTTAATCTAACATCCTGGTATTACAGATCTTTTAAAAGTGATGGGTATTGAAAGTATTTTAAGTATTAGAGTTTTAAAGTAGTTTAAGTCTTTAAAATATTAAAAGTATTTTAAATCTTTTAAGACTTACAAGTCTTCAATCTCATGTGAGTGTTAAGTTGTTAAAAAATTAAAAGACTTCGGCATTCCCATAGTAGGGGTTTATATTAAAAAAAAAAAAAATTAAAAGATACTCGAATTTTAAATCTAGATAAGCAATAATAAGTGATCTATTTGTATGTGCGTGTGTACACATATGTACTGTATGATATACATATATACATAATTAGATATGTAACGCTAATGCTAGCAGATACCTTTAATGTTAGGTATATTTATTCTTCCTCCTCTTCAATATAATTAGCTTCGTTTCCTTCACATTCAATCTCAATCTCCAATTCATCTGATTCTATTCCTTTAAGAGCTAAATTTATTTCATAAACAACATATTTTTGCCATAATTCATATCCAGAATATTTAGCATTGCAAATAACGTCAATACAAACACTTGCAAATACAATATTATTTTTAGTAGTTTCTTCTGGATAAACTTGCTCAAGAACAGCAAGCCACCAAGTAAAATTTGGATTGTCTGGATTTTTTGGACTTTCTAGATCTACAAAGCATACTTGAATCGTATCTTTAAATTTCCATACATTTATTTGATCAACTGATGGGTGTGCTTCTTCAATTGGTGGAAATCTTTTTCTACTAAATACTTCTGTCAATGCTTTCTTTACTTTAATTTTTATTTTGCTTCGATATTCCCGGGCAATTTCTTTTGCCTATTAAAAAAAAATAGTCTAATTAAAGTTAAATAAAAATAGACGATTTTATTATTATTAAAAAACTTACAGCAGGTGCAATACTATTATTCCATATACTTTTCCACGAAAGATTTATAAGAACAGCTTCTAACTGACCCTTATTGTGATCTTTAAGAGCCGTTTTTGATACAATTTCAAGATGTTTATTTGATGAATACTTAATTGTTTTCATTTTTTCCTGAATTGCTTTACATACAGTTTTCTATAATAAAAAAAAAATTAAAGTTAATAAAAATATATAACATATATATATAATAATATAAATTTAATACTAACATAAAACCACTGTTTTTTATAAGAATATGTTTGATTTGTAAAAGTTTTTTGTTGTTGTTTTATAAGTTTATATATCTCATTTTGATCTTTTTTTATTTCATTAACTAAATCTGTAAGTGTATTAATCATTGTATGAAGAGATTCAAGAGATCCGATTATAGTGTCTTCGTTGCAGAATAATTGACTTTTTCTAATAATATTTAATAATTAAATTTGTAAACTTATTTGAGATATATGAATAAATAAAATTTATTTATCTAATTGAACTCTTTTTGCCTCCAATCCAATATTTCTTTTATTAAAGTTATTTATAGTTGAAGTACTTTCAAGATTATCGTTATTATTTGAATTAAATAAATATTTATTATAAGATACTTCAAGTTTAGGATCTTTGCCATATTGAAATTCAAGTTCAGATTCTTCACTAATATATTGAGTTTGAGAAACAGGTTCTTCACTAATATATTGAACATTAGATTCTTCATTAATATATTGAGTTTTAGTTTGTTCATCAACAACTTTATTATTTTTTTGAACTTGTAATCCACTTGTATTTGATAATTTAATTTTTTTTGGTTGAAGATTTGCAGAAGATCGAAAAGAAGCTTGAGACTGCTTAGTTGGTTTTGTTTTGAATGACATTTCATGTATATTTAACCTATTGCGCTTTATAATTATTTCTAAAAAAACAATAAAACAAATAGTAATTGTAATATAGTAATTAATAAATAAAACAACTTAAATACTTATAATAAATAAAATCGAAAGAATATAAGCAAAATGTTGGTAAGAAGTAATAGTTTAAAATTATTAATGAAAAAGTATAAAATAATTTATTATAATTTTTAATTTATATTTATTATAAATAATATAATAAATCATAGTTTAATCAATTACGTATTTATTTATTTTTTATTTATTTTTTTAAGCAGTCTTGTCTTTATTTATTTGAACAACTTTCTAGACTATCAACGTGTACATAATCTCTTTAAAGTTTAATGTTCTAATCTAATAAAAACTCATCAAGCCGAAGCCCAAAGCAACCTGCTAAAACAACAATTAGTCTCTCTTAGGATCCAAAACTTACTAAGGATTTCGTACCGACTTGGGTATACCCCTTGATCACTAACGGGTTGTTGTTCACCATGTCAAGACTGAATTTTTTCCCTTCTAATTTTTCCCTCTTCTCAAAGGGCACAAGGTAAAGGGGGGTAAAAAACAAAAATAATTTTTTAAAGAAAACGACAAAAAAAAAAAAAAACAAAAGAAAAAGAAAATAAAAGATACAGATTGTGAAAAAAGAAAAAAACAGACAGAAAGAAAAAAGTCCCAACAGAAATGTCAGGTTGTTGTAAAAATTATATAATACTCTTCTATTTAGCTCTACTCTAAATAAAGTCCACATTATATTTAAATTCATCTTCGGGGTAGAGTTAGCTCTACAAGAAATTCTTAGATAATCCTCTACTTCGCATCAACATTAGTCATTATCCTACACATAGACTCGTAACTCTTGTTTACCTCCTAATTTGTACCCTGCCGATAGTAGTTCACCTGGTACTAAAATAGTACAACACATATTACCGGTTACTGTAATTGGGAGTGTCCTATTTCATATCGAGACCCGTAAACAATGCAGATCTTTTGAAGGGGGTAAGCCGATTCTCCACTTTTTGTTAGTAAAAATTTTCTAAAAATCTAAAATATAGTTGAGGGCGTATGGCTGCAAAGACTTCAAAATTTTCTAAAGAGTGTGTTGAAATTCCAAGTTGTTTGTTGTTTCCCCTGTGTTCTTCCAAGAAGTAACAGCCTAAAAGCTTTGTCGACGGATACTATATTCTAGCCTCTCCACCAAGATTTTATATCCAAGGGCACCACCTGCTAGTTATCTTGAATACTAACGCTCTTGGCTTGCATACCGAACAGCCTAAAGAGGAGTCCTGAGCAGAGAAAACTATTAACCTCTTGCTAAACCGCAAGTTAGGCCACGACTCTCCAACAAAAACTTGTTTTTCGTTAGCAGAAAATTTGGTCCAGGTGATCAACAGGACAAAAATTAGAATTTGGTTTCTTATTTTTAACCATATAGTAATATATATATACATTAGTAAAGTTTTTATATTTTGACTTCAGATTTTTGTAAATAAGCTTTTTATTAAACTTCATACTTGTGAAAAATGTTTGGCTTATTTATAATATAATTGTATTCTTCATAATATTAATGTTTAAAAACAATTTTCTAAATAATAATGCATTCTTGATTTTATTAAATTTGGAGTTACAAGATCTAATCTATTAACAAGAAAAACTTGCGAAAAAAGAATATTCTTTATACATATAATATTTCTATTAATATTTGAATTAATCATCTATATTGATCATTTTTTATTAATAGATTTTTTTTTGTATCAACTTGCCTTTTTACTATCATTATTTAATTATTAATGAAAAGCCGCTTAATTTATTTAAGTATACAATTTGGCAAATAATTTCACATTAACTTATTTTGGATTAATTAATTAATTATTAACAATTGCTTTAATTACTTTCTTTTTAAGATTAGCTCCTTCAAACTATGCTGACAATTATATGTATATCTAGAAACATTATTAGTATATAGGAAATTCTAAATTCTTTGCAAAACAAATAATTATATATTAGTTTAAATAAGATATATGCTGGAGATGTAAATAGGAAAAGTATAGGGTAGCTTTGACTTGAAATTAGTATTAATCTATCATATATTTCTAACTTTTATTATATCATTTGTATGATTAAAATAATAAAGCACAAATATTAAATTTAGCTAAATATATCTTGCAATCTGATTGAATAGATATTGGGTCACAGTTAGTGATATGTATGCTTGGTTTTGCAACTATCTTATATAGAGAGTAGAGGTATATTGAAAAAATATTATGTAATATTTGTCACTACTCTAACTATCTTGATTTATCTTTTAAAATCTTAAAAATTAATTGTAGTCTGATTTAAATTTAATGAAAATTAAAATAATTTGCAATATCTAATTGCTTTATATAAGAATAGCTTTGATTATATTTATATATTTTTATTTTAAATAATTACTAATAGCTTTTTACAACAAACTTTCAAATATTTTATATAATATGAATAAAACTAAGTATTTATTTTAAAAAAAACTTATAAAATAAATTATTTTATTATAGAATGTGTTAACAGTCTAAAAATGCACTAGAGATATTATTTCTAATAGATTTAAAAGATTATAATAATCAAAATAAACTACAATATATAACAAATAGACTATTAGATAGCCAGCAATTTATAAACAAAAATAAGCCAAGAAAAGTAATAAATTATAGCTGAAATAGATTTATTATAATATTCTTTATGTCTTTTATTCTCTTATTATACTTTATTATAGTCACACCTCTTTAAGTGCATCTTGTTAAAACTATAGTAAAAAAAATTAAAATTTTGCACTTAGAAAGCTGACAATTATCAGATGATTTTCTAGAAGAGGGTCAAAAAAATTAAAATTTTATATATAAAACCTGATAATTTATATATTAAAAACTAGAAGGAGGGTAAAATAAAATTAGGTGATAAATGACACTGCTCTTAGAGAGTATTTGCATTTATAAAAAGTAAAATATATAGAACTCTTATAAGTTGGGACCAAATATGATTGTATATTTAGAGAAATTTTATATAGTACTTGCATTTAGAGATATGCATTTAGGAGATTTGGCAGTCATGCTAAAACTTTATTAGGCCTAAATTAACAAACTATGCTATCAACTAATTTTACCAAAATAATTGCTTTGGTTATCTAAGTTACAAGTTTTGGCTAACCCAGTTGTATCAAATGTATATCTATATTCAACCTGCTATAGTAGAATTTTATCTCCCTACTCATCTCTCTTGCTACTAAAGAAAATAAATAGATCACCAAACAGTATCTACAGGCTTGTCATGACTGCTAATTTTTTTAAGACCCTCCTTTTCTTAATATCTAAGCAAGAAAATTACATAATCCTTACTTAAAGAATAATAAATATAAAAAAATCTAACCTAAAAAAAAAGAAAATAAAAAAAAGTGTGAAAAACTACAAAACCTAAACATAATCTAAATACAAAAAGAAGAAATAAAACAAAAAAGATAAAAAAAAAAAAATGACAAAAAGAAAAAAGAAAGACATAAATATACTATTTTTAAAAAATAAACTTCTGATTGTTATGCCTATACATGGCATATAAAAATTATTTAATATTCTGTAAAACAATTCCTATCTTTATTCTATTTCCATATTAATTGGTGATCCACCAGTCAACCAGAGAATAATTATAGTAAAATGTGATTCAAATTATTTATAAAAATTGGGGGATCTCCAAATGTAGCGTGCACGCATCTAAAACTTTTTTTTATACTAAGTTAATCACTTTTCTAACTTAAGAGACTTTTGTAAAGCTTGTCAAGACGTATCTAATGGTGGTTAGAGCGTCAAAATCGGCTTGGTGGGTGCCGAGATATTTTTTAAAAACATTTTTTTTACTATAGCATGATGGAAGATCGATTTATGCATTAATGTTACACAAGATTTTACATATCAAAATCATATGAAATATGGGCACATCATATGACTGCTCATCAAAAAATCGTTCAATTTTTACAAAACTTTACCAGAGTATTATATGGCCGCAAAGAAAACAGTTTGTTTAAACACATCTAACACATCTAATAATCTGTGAGACTTTTATTAGACGTAGGTTTTCCTTAGCAAAATGGTAATAACTAGTAATAGCTTGTTCTTTTGCATTTGCAGACGAGTATGTTAATTATTAAAATTGGTATAGTATTTATGAATTTCTAAAACAAGTCAATTATTTAATTCAAAATCTAATGATTTAGTTAAATCTATAAGTGTTACTTTATATCTACTGTATATATAGTATTAATTGATAAGTTTCTCAATATCTATGTATTATTGGTGATTTAGTTAAATCGGCAGGTACTTCTTCATATTTTCATTTTTTTTTTTTGTTAAAAAAAAAATGTTACCAATGCTCTATTTGATTCATTTCCACTATTAACCTAGGTGAAATATCATCCTCCTCTATTTCCTCAGATTCTTTTTCAATACTTTCCATATCATCGTCATCATCATCAAGATCTTCCTTAGTAAGTGTATCTGCCCCTTTTTTGATTCGGGTTAAAAATTTTTAAATGTTTTTAAATATTCTTTTTTTATAAAACTCAACACAATGTTTGCATTTTCTACCATAACAATCATTATGATAACTATGACCGCAAACAAATACTATGCCATTGTTATTAACAAGTGAACGCCCACAAGAATCACATAATCCTGAACGCGGAGAATGTGCTGTACTATAGGCTGTTGGAAGGTGCCATAAATCTACATCTTTCTCTAAGGTAGCAAGATAGTATGTGGTTGGCAGTTTTTTTTTTTATCTTTATTGGGTCTTGGAATACTTTTTCTGTGATTGTAAAAAATAGATTGAAAATGTTATACAAGAAAAAGTGCCATTTTATCATATAAAAAGTTTAATGTTTTTGCATTATATGGGTACCGTCATGTTTTGCAATAGGTGTTTTTAAATGTAGGATCGTGATTCATAATAAAGTAGGCTTGCTT